CAGTAAATTTTTGTTCGGAACAAAAACTGACGCAATTAAGCATTTTATTGTTTAAAATAATGAAAGATTGAAATATCTAAAATTTTTTTTCGAAAATACATATGTTCTAAGATAATCATAAAATTATTTCATTGAATTATTATTAAAGTTATTATTACTCTACTCTTTTAGACCAAAAAACCCAGTCAAAGCTTTTGCACTGATCCACCACACACAAGTAGAACCGCTAAGCACTGGTCAGACACAGTCGCAGTGGTATTCAAATGTTCCCGTCTGCCTCTCTAACAAAACGATTTTCTCAAGAACAAACCCCCGAATAAAAACACTTTCCATTCCACGATTTCCATTTTATATCTTCCACCGAAGAATCAGTGATCTGGTTGCGCCTTTCCGATACACCCCCTACTTTCATTGAATCCCACCGAATATCCCGCTCATAGACGGGTTCGTATAATGGAGGATCAACGGCGTAGTACACGGCAAACAAATAAGAAGAAGATCACGCACTGTAATCTGTTAACGCCTCGACTAACCCGCCGTTACACATCCATTCCATCAGTTTGCATTATAGGATTTCACGAAACGACCGAATCTCACGCTTTATCCGTGATAGATGTGTCTACGTGTATCAGGCTTTCGAGGGCGCGCATTAAATACGAAATCGCGGGACGGCCTTCTCTGTCTCACTCTCTCTTTCTTCTTCTCTGTCTATGTTCGTATACACCGTTGTACCACCGTTGAAGGAGGCCGCGATGCGGACGGAAAAAGAGGGCGAAAGGGCGAGGCGCTTGTTAAGTTAGTCTCGGGGATTCCTGAGTGCGCGCGTGTACACGCCGGCAACGTACGAATTACACGATCCGGAGCTCGTGCTCCGCAAGAAGTCGACGGGATGGACGGAGAACGAAGGTGATGAGGACGGACTAGAGAAGAGATGACGACGAAAGATGACGCTCTCTCTGACCATCGGGAGGGTTCACCATCCCAAGAAGACACACCGTCGCGTCTCTACTACGAACCACGGTGAAAGTAATAACAGTGAGAGAGCATACACGGACGAAATCGCGAGCGCACGCACACATCGAGGCCGTTGGTTCGCGGACCAGCTTTTACGTGACCGGTGCTTAAGCTATTTTTCGATACGACCGGTACTTAGGTGCACGGCCGGTCGGGACTACAACCGCCCGCTGGGCTCTCCCATAGAAACCACCACCGAAGATCCTACGTCCTTGGGAAACTCGAGGAGGCCGAGGACGAAATGGCCCGAACGTCTAGGAAATCGGGGTAGAGGGAGGAGGATGGAGGAAGGGGGATGGATAATTGTACAACGGATCCCCGGCGTGTATTACACACCGTGAGATTCGAGTGAAAACGATCAACCGCGTGACGACTGGGCAAGAACCGGATGGTTCGCTTTTGTTTTTTTGTACTCCGGCGAGTGTCTGGTCTTCTTGATTAAACGGTGAATTTATTTTCGGGACATTTAAGGAAATATCGCTGTGTTTGAGAGTGCTTGAGATTGTTGGGAGATTATGTGCGGTCTGGTTCGATAGGGTATTTTCTTTTTTTTATATTACTTATGTCACGTTTTAAGTAGTTTGTAATGGCCCGTTTACTGGCAATGTTTAAATGAAAAAGAATTGTGGCATGTCTGGCCCTGTCTCCCTAGTAAAGTAATAAAATTCTCATTTCACCAGTTCGGGGTTAAAATTGCATGAAGTGAAATTTAGTTTCTAAGATAATCAACGTGGCATCTTCTTGCTGGGAAATTCAAACTAAGTTTCTTAATGAGAACACACAATCCTTGAAATAATATTTTTGAAAAAGTATAAAAAGCAGGGGTATAATCGATAAGACTTGATATTATACTTCATTTCACTTCTATCAGCTAGAGAACTCTCGTATGTTCGTACCATGTTCAAATATATTATTCTTGAAAACAGTAAAGTAGGTAAACCTGATGAGAAAATAATGAAGATAACCATGTATTGTGAAGTAAATGGCTACACGGAATAAGTGGCTGTAGTCAACAGGAAGTTCAGAATGAAAATGATTCTTCATAATTTTATTTCCATGAAAAACGATTGAATAAACAATTACCATTACTCATAAAGAAAGAAATATCTAATTCACTTCAGACGATCAGTTTTTAGGGAAAGTTACTTTGATTTCGCTTTTGACTAAACTTGATTTGTTTCCATACTGAAAAATGTTCTTAATGTTATTAAAATGCTGCTATCTATTGAACAGCGGACTGTAACATTCTGTACGAAAATATTGAACTAATTTAAATAATTTTTTGTATAACTAATTTATTATCTAACTGTTTAAATTAAATAAATAATATACTAAACGAGCATAAATCGTGACGTGATTAGAAATAGGGACATTGACCTTTAGTACTGTCTCTTTCAACCGATATTTGTTCGCCCGAAGTGTCAGTTTGAGTTGTAGGGACCGAGACTCTAGGGTTGATCGAAGGAGGCATCCAGGTTACCGTACAAGCTCGCGATATCGCGATGTGTATCCTATATACATAATGTGCATACATGAAAATATTATGTGTACATGGTCTGCGCGGAATGGTCGCGTGTGCCCGCAGATATACAAGCCGCGACTTGGAAGAGGGAAAATCGGGGTCACACCGAAATATTTTTCCCGGACACTTCCGGCGAAGGACGGCGGCCGCGCACGCGCGCAGCACCACCCCCTCGTACGATAGACCAAAAGGACGACACTCGGGTGTAAAGATCAGGTGGCGTTACGTCGAAAAAAAAAAAACAGAAAATGAACGAAAGAGCAAAATTAGAGACGGCTGAAAGGAAGCTGCCGCGCTTTAATAGCGTCGCGATAGAGTGGTCGCCTCAAAATGACTTTTAATTCCATGTTAACGTGCTTTTAATGCCCTATTATTTAGTTACAACGTTGCGGTACCAGGGCCGACACACGATAGGGCGGACGACTTACGTGCAACCGAGTAAAAACGTGCACAATAAGGACTGGTCCAGTGAGTTCGATCGATGGTAATTTTGTAGCAAATTGTGTAGCGGAATTTAGTACCGATTACGATCTGGCGGGTACTCGTGTAATAGACGCTGGCATTTTTGTAATACCTTTATGTAATGTACGATGTCGATTTACACGACATAGTTACTGCTGGGTTTAATGGATGAACTCGTGGTAGCTTGATTTTATAGGGCGTTTGCATGTGCGTCGAGAAAATATGAAATGGCAAAAATGAATGATCGAGACTGATTATATTGCATTCCTATGAGTATCAACTATTAGATAAATCTTGAAATTTCTTTTCATGGAAGTTTATATACGGATCAATTTAGGAGACCTGTGCAAGGGGGAGGACCTATGCCACGAAATGTTGAAAAATGAGAATTTATTAATTCTGCCAGCTCTTGATACCTAGTTATTATTCCTTAATTTATAACTACGTGGCAAAATTCCTGAATGAACTATGATTGTATACAGGGTGGGCCACGAAACGTGATCAGCTTAGATTATTCGACTGCTAGTTGTTAGATGGAGAATTTTTTTGCATGCTTAAGCGTCAGTGCAGGCGTCACCAATAGAACTAAGCAGTTATTTCTTAACCGTTTACACGAGTGTATTGCAGCTGATGGACACCATTTTAAACATTGTTTTAATTAAGGTAAATAATATTTTCTTAATTTTTTGTTGGTTTAGGAGGAAAAAAATTATTTGTTACGATACTTGTAGAATTCGCCTTAGTATCCGCTAAAAGATGCGCGTAAAAAAATGATAGGTTTATTTATAGAAAATTAAAGGTGACTTTGAAAACCTTGGAAAAAAAACGGGTTGATAAAAAATTTGGTTCAATCACCTTCAGCTCTCCTTGGATCATGTTATACTTGCGAAAACAATTTTCGATCGAACAGCTAACAGTAGAATAATCAAAACTGATAATATACAATCATGGTATACTATGGTATACACTGAATACTTTTCATAAAAGCGTTAATAATTTAGAACGTTACTGTTGTGGCATAACTCCCTCTTGCACTGAACCCTTCATTTGTATAAATTTCACTATTTCAATTGAGCTAATACAATAATTATAGCCCGCATAGAAGATTTGACACAGAGATAGCTGTCACGATACCCACGATCAGAAATTCATATTTTAATAAGTTTTTCAGTTACTGGTAGTTCAGACCGTAAAATGTGGAATAAACTTTAACAGGTTTTTTCCATGCATGGATTTTGTAACAGCCAACGGTTTAATATCGTTATTGCACATCCCAATCTATATCTATTTGATATCGAAACAACGAGTACGATTTTCGTTGCTGGCGGCGCAAAAAGTGATACTTAATCGCGGAACCGTATGAATATACACATAGTATGAAACTTTTACAGTGGGATTAAATTCATTCTACAAGTAGATTGTGTTTGGTATGTTACGTGTTTAGAATTAATGCAAATTGAACACACTGTCGCTTATTGTGTAGAATATATAATCATATTTAATTATAATATTTCAATAATGACGTCAACAAATGTTTTTTACTCTACTTTAGCTTGCAAATTCATGCAGTTTTACTCGAATATTATGTGAAAATAATTTTTTCATATAATTCTCGAGTGTGAAAATATAATATTATTTGTGCACACCAAAAAATGTTTTAAAAAAATTCTGATAAATGAAGGGGGAAAACACAAATCATGTTTCAATACTAAAAAAAGTATCATTACAGTTACACTTTACAGTAACGTCATTATTTTTTGTCATTTACATGTTTTGACATGAATATTACAAAATAGAATATAAATTTGTGGTTTTTATCATGGACCAAGTGAAAAGATACTTCAGATACTACTACTGATAGGTTATTAAAGCTATCGTTATATAAATGCCTTACTAGTACTCTTTTTCTCTTTAAGTTGAGATAAATGTAAAACAAATGAAAAAAATCACCATGCACTGGTTAATTGTTATGATTGATTAATGATGCAGAAAAGTAACTTACGAATGATTTTTCAGCACTGTTTCAATCATATTTGTGACGACAGACCAAATGAAAACGGATCCGTCCGAAGAACCGACTGCAATGTATTGGCCATCAGGACTAAAGGTAGCTCGTGTCCAATCAAAACCGACTTTAAATCCGTCAGCACTGGGAATCAAAGAGAAATACGTTGTGATTAATTTACAAAATATATTTGAGTATTCGTTTCGTATGAAAAGTTACGAAACATATTCAAATTCTATTGGTGTTATCGATACTATTTGATGTATCAAAGTAATCAACTATTTATGATATTTTCGTATAAATAGGTACTAAATTTGGAACAAAATATTGAATCATTTGGTATACATCATAAAGTAAGTGAAATACTCCACTGTGTCTAGGTACTTATTATTAGTTATAATGTGAGAATATAGGTACATTATAAAACTTTAATAATCATAAAGGTTGCTGTTGGTGCAAGTAATAGGTAAATATTGATTAATATTTCACTAATATTTAAAACAAAACTGTATTTATTAAAATTTTATCCTTTTTTCTTAACATCAAACTCTATGAAAATAAATTAGCTAATGTTGAATGACTTGCTCTAGGACTTCGTGTACCTATTACTATCTTAATCTTGTAGTATGTATATTAAATTTTCTAATATACCGTGACAATGAAAATTTAGGGATAATATATAGTATTATAACAATGCAACAGTGATTAGACATGCTGACACATCTTTATTGGACAATTCCAGTAACATAATGGAGTATAATTAATACCACAATTATGAACCTAGTTCACATAGAATTTTCTTCCACTCATTAACCTTCTAAGACCTGAATTATGTTATAGGTATTTCTTTACCGCAAGTTTTATTCCAGATTACTTGAAAACTGTTCAAATATGCTTTCTTTTATTTTTTTTATTCACACAGCTAAATATGGTATCTCTGAAGAAGACTTATAAAGACTTATAAATACTTATAAATCCCAGCCAGCTAGTAAGCATATTGGTTCACGATATGATTTTATTGTAACATAAGTGGTACTACAAAGTACCGTCAGGACATAAAGGGTTAAATTTACATTATTATAATTTAATCGAAAATCACCTTCTTACACTGCTTTCGTTCAAGGTAAACATTGAAACCAAAATAGCCTAACAAGGACAGCTTTATCTCTCCATAAACAAACCTTAAGGCCGATGTTTATTCGACACACAACCAGAACGGAACCCGTTCGCAACGAATACAGAGGCTTTCCGCCAAGAGAATACACACTCACCTAAACGATCCAATGATCTTCTTCATCCGTAGGTCGATAAGTTTCAGGGTGTCGTCTCTGACACAGCTCAAAAGGTAATTTGCATCTGAAAACAAGCAGGTGTCGCTACTTTGAATCTCCGTGTCGCCGATATTGAAGTTAAATTGGCTGTGCTAATAACGTTTTCGTCGTGCAACGAATCGCGCACGTGCCCGCATAAAGATAATAAGCAATCGCTGATTACGTTACGATAGTTATTCCGATCACGTCCCGAGGAAGTTTCCGCGAATTTCCGTTATTTGAACAGCGGACAGCTAGAGTGAGGACGAAGAGGAGCACGAGGAAGAAGGGAAAAAAACGGTTTGCCGCGGCTTGAAATGCACCGGGACGAATCCGTTAAGTAAGTAATTCCTTTTCGGGGCGTATAAATCTTATGGGGAGGCGTTTCTGGAAAGGTATTCTGAATCCAGCGAACACGTTTCCCAAGGAATGGTATATTATACTTTAATGGAAGTATACATAATGTATTACCGCGAATGATAAAGGAAAAGCATTAGTGAGGCATGACATAATCGAGCAGAACTCTTCAGCGGCCGCGATATTGGTTCCGATTGAATACTATCCAACGTATTATCTGGATTAATGAGTCCGTATTAAAAGAATTCATATATTTTACGAGATCGGTTCAATCAGCGCGGCGACACCGTAATTAAATATACGCTTTGACGTATCAACGGGATAGTGGTTGTCCTCGCGATATCCTAATCGAAACTGAATATTGCTCGAAATTTTGCTCCTCTTGCGACAATCACGTTACGATAACGATTAAATACGCGTATTTGAAATAATGTGATATACCTGTCGAGTATCGAGTTAGGATTCATTTCTAAATAAAGCTCTATAACATATCGTGTTAAATATATAATATGAATGAAAATATAATATCCGACGAATCGGTTCATAATTAGACAGCAAATTTTGCACCAAACTGAAACACGATATAATAAGAAGATTCTATTATAAGATTTTAATTATAAATTCATAAACGTTCGAAGTTGTATAAACTTGAGGAGTTTATTTGTGGTATATGATATGGACGGAAATAAAATTCGTAATGTATATGAAATTTACCACGAGATAAATCCAGCGACGTGACCTTTCCCTCGAGCAAAATATCGTTTGAACTGGATTCTGCTCTAGTGTCCCAGAATCGGATTCTCTGATCGAAGTGGCCGCTAATTATCGTTGAGCCGGCTCCATCGGAAGTAACAAGATCGTTGCAACTGGAACCCGCGAATTTTGTTTCTATGCCTGGAACAAAGTATGCGTCCAAAATTAATTTATAACATTCTATCTGCTTATATTTATCGGATAAATATAAATAATTACGGATTAAACGTTAATGATCTGAGCAGAGAAGTCAATTATCTTGAAGAATAGTGGTCCATAAGAACAAATGCTGACTTTATCTTGTTATTTGTACTTTATTTTGCATAGTTGTCTGCTGTGAATTTTGAAAACCCTCGGAATAAGAAATCTGTGTTAATTGGAACTCCAGAAGTTTGAAGTATCTTAGTGGAATTACGCAATAATAAATCTTCTGGAAAAGAAAATTAACATACATTTTCCCTAGAATATTCAAAGAATGAGGAAGAAGATAATATTGAAATGCAATTATGCATTCTCAGGGTATGAGACAGGAATAGTGTAAATGCAACAAAAGTTGCGACAAAGATTAATAAAAATCCGTAAAATAATGTTCAGATACGAAAAGTAGATTATGGACTTTATTGTTAGAAGTAAATTCTTTAAATAGTCAAATTTACATTTCACTAAAATAACGTGCAAAAAAACGTACACAACATTATCAGGAACACAGAGTGCATGGAATTCGTCTTACTGATAGCCAACTATTTTTATTAAATATTGTCGTTTCGTTTGCATCAGGGGATCGACTAGTACCACAGACCGTGATCCGCAAAAAGACGTGGGACGCGCAACAATCTAGTTTCTCGGTCTGCAAAATTCAATCGAAATGCGAATCTCGACATTCACATAAAATCTGCTTACGTCGGTACACCTAAGTCGACGGGTATGATGCATCGCCACGAAGTAATAGGACCCAGTAATTCCATCCTCATAGGAAGCAGAGAGCCTCGAGCGATATCAATAACCAACGTATCGTTGCGGTAAATTCGACAGGCTAATTGATTGGCCAGTAAATCACGTTTGATTTAACGTAGACCAGCAGCGACAAAGTGAAACGGCACACACGGACCGCCGGAAAATTTCGTAAACGTACAGAGTGTCGAACGAAACTAAACGAGCCGGCTAATGTTATTTATAGTTGTCTCGCTCGGAGAACCAACAGTTGCCCGTTCAATCTCCAAACGAGCGGGATCGAAACGTTTTCATCAAGAGTGAAGCAAGATGGAGTGAATTTCCTGATCCTGTTGGCGGCAACAAATTGTTGACGGCTACATCAATTCGTTGCAGCACTTGGTTAACAGTCCAATCGATCATTGTGCGAATCGTTGAAATTCGATATGTTCTTAAATTGCTTTCGTTGGAAAATATTTTTCCGAATTTCAGATTAACACTATGATGGCCGATGATACCACAGTGGCGTCACGTAAGTGTGAATTGATATTTTTCTGTTATTTAATACTGAATTTGTTTGCATACATAGCGAAATTATATTTTGTTCATTTCTGACGAAAACAGTTGGCTACTGATGAAAGTTACACACGAAATTACCCTGTCATCATAGTATTAATTATATATGTATATCAAAGAGTTTAGAACCACCATTATTTGTATTATAAATTTAATTCGCAATGTTTACCTGAGAATCATGAACTGTATAAAATTTTATTTGAATGTGATATATTTTGACTATTTCTCTTGCGATTCATCGCAAGGTAGGCGATGGTTGAAGCGATCGTTACGTCGTGGGCCGTCAGTACGGTCAACAAATCGTGATAAAAGGAATTCCTGGACAGCTGCACATCACATGCAAAACATTGACTGTCCTAGGAACAGTTTGTTATTGTACTTCGACGCTGACTTACAGGTATTCCAGAAAACAATACATACGCCAAGCACCATTTCTTCCACTTCATACACCAACCAAAACTCTTTATTTCCCATCCTTATTCAAATACATTTAACCAATCACAACCCGATTCATAGCAATAAGCGTCTACACAGACAATCACTAGACAGAACACATTCAACCATCAACCAGAGCACATCTATCAATCAGTGGAAACGAAACTATTACACACATACACATACATCACATTGTTGCGTTTACTAAAGTTTAAATGTGTTACCAAGTGATGTTAAATTATTCAAGTCACACCGTATCACCCTATACAATCACACCATCTTCCAACGAGCCCTGCGGTACTAATTTATCAATCAGCGAGTGGTAACATTGCGAGCTACGAAAGGTATATCTTTTACTATAAAAATTGCAATTTCATTAAAAATTGAAAAATATATTTTTTTTTTAGAATAAAGGAACTGAATTTTGAAAGGGTTAAACCACACCATTAATATTATTCAGAAGTTTCCGGAAATTTGACGTGTGAAAATTATTTTTTCAAATCCTCAGAAATAAATAAACGAATATAAAAGCATATAAATTCATGACAAAAATTTCAACTTATTTGATTTCATTTTCGCAAGTCCATAAGACCGATAGAACAAATTTCATGTATGAAGTCTTTCAACTCACTAACACACAGGATAGTCTCTAATTTATTGTTACGTAAGACGAAGACGAAGGTGGTTCGCGGAAGATTCATAAGGTATCCGGATTGCGTTTCCGATATCAAAGTGTTCCCATGTAGTATCAGCATTTTCCGACAAGCTCGCGGAAACAAGGGCGACAGGAACGTTATTTCACAGTGTAAATTAAGTTTGAAATCCTGCTTATTGCGCGGTTGAAATCTATGGAAACTACCGGTCTGGGAGCCACAATGTGAAACCGGAAACCACCCTCGACTGGTAACGTACTTTTAATAACAGTGTTAACTGGCGCGGCGCAACATTGCCTACGTACGCTTTACTCGTATTTCAAAGCACGATGAAATTGCACGATCCGGTTTCTTTGTTACTTTCTTTCGGCGGAGTTGTTTTATCGATGTTTTTGAGGGCTGTATTATGGTTGTAGAAGGTGGGGCGTTATTCTACAATGAATAAATACGTAATTGGATAGCTTATTTTTCTTCGATACTATCCGACAGATCGCGATGTAACGTTTCCAATATATGTTCTTCTAATATTTTTTTTACACAACAGCCTGTAATTTTACAGTTTATTGATTGTATGGAATATTTCACACTATCAGATGTTGTAAAATTGGATCTGGTTTCAAATTAAAAGTGCTCTGTTAATACATCGTTTTCTTTATCCAAGACTGGAAAGAAAGGTAAAGAACGATTTATTGATATTTGTTTTACGATCAAATTTAATATACAGATTCTATGTTTCAAAAATGGAAAAAAATGTAGGATTGTATTTTATTGTACTCTGAACCTCAAACAAATCAAAGCGTAACGTGCAGCTTGGAGATGTGAAAGTGAGTGTTACAGATTGCTCATATTTCAGAAAAAGTTGCACTGAAGTATAACGTGAATTCTTCAAACGTGAAATATACTCTCACGGGTAATTTATTTGGGCGAGACACCACATCGAACAATATCTGTGTATAAATTTCTCGAAAAATGTACTACAGACACGTCCATCATAGCCTATGAGTATGCAACAAAGTTTCATCCAAAGTTTAGTAACAGGAAAGAGGAAACCCAACCATTTTCTATCTTCATGTTGTTACGTACCTAGCCGAGAGGAGCCTGATTTATAATCGCATTTTACATGATTTGTTCGCGTCGGTTAAAAGCAGGAATTACGATTAAGTGTCATTTGCAGTGAATCCTTTTAAGGACAAACTGTATACGAAATTCCGCGCGGAATGAGGCAATGAATAAATATTCCAAACTCGCCAAGCTTATTTGCAAACGTTAACGATGATTACGCGGTTGAATCCTAATGATAATGCCGGTGGAATACGAGCATTACCGCGACAAGCGACCGCCACGGAAGAGCTAACGTTCCGGAGAAAGGCCAAATGAATTCAGCTACCAACACTTACTGTTAGTAGCAGTTCCTGGTACTTAACCCTCTGACACGACACAGAAATTACTTAACAATAGTCGCTAACCTTCGACGTCATTAATATCACACCACTTTTCTATATTCATAAGAAACTCAACAATTATTCTTCATAGCATTAGAACTGTGTCAGCAACTAGATCTCGGAAACAATGTGATTCTCTGATTATAATGTGATCTCTGAACACATTAGGTCCGTGACCCCTGGGACATTAATTGAAACTGAACTGGATTAACAAAGAGTAACTGTATTAGTTAAGCGATTTTTCAATTAAAATTGCATTCAGAAGAACAGTTACGTTTTCTTGGAAATAGTCGTTTGAATTAAATTAATCCCGTTTTAAAATAAAGGATCAAGCTAGAGAAGTGTGTATTCTACAAGTTCGAGTTTCATTTCATCATTACGGGTTATTTAACACGTTGAGTGCCGTGTCGGTCATTGGTAACGAACAGTTTCTATAACACTACATTGCAGAAAAATAGCTTGAAATCTAACTTTAGTTCTCTGTTTTTTAGACGCAGCGTACATAATTTCAGACATAAATAATCTAAATTAATAAGTCGTGCAATTATATCCCTGCCTGACATTGAATAGAATTATATTTCTATTTCCATCATGTAAAATGGTATATTTATGATTTCATCAGTTCTTCGTCAGAGGGCAATCATGTCGTTATCAACTTAGCCTCAGCTATACAAATATAAAATTTTCAAAGGCCACCCCTTTCAAATTTACATTTTTTGACCTGTACCACCATCACTGCCAAGAAGCTATATGTTCTTCAAAATTTAAGTTACAGAAAGAAATATTTTAATCTGCTGTTCCAACTACAGGTAGCAAAATTTCAGTACTTCCTTTTGACAGTCCATTTTGATCCCCGTGTATCATATACAAGAAAGTCAATGAATCCGCTCTATAAAGTGATAAATACTTTCTAGAGCAACGTCTGTTAACCATCTGACGCTCATAACCTGAGAATAAGGTTAAAATAAATTAAAAGATATTAGGGGACCAGCCGTCGACACAACGTTTTGATATACCCAACCAGCTGACGCGCTAATAGAGAGGGAGGGATCCGCGAGAGAGGGATAATACTCCGGATAGAAAACAGGGTGATCCACTTTAAGCA